GCTCGAGTTGCATGCGGCGTGCTCGCAGTGTGGTTGTTTGTGTGTTCGTGTGTCCGTATCTGCGTTCGTTTCTGATTCGGTGATTTTTGCGAACGCGTACGCGCGTACGTGCACGCGCCCCTCCGTCGAACCACAGTCTCCGCTCGCCGTCTTTAGCCACCGAGCTTCCTCTCGGTCTTCTCTCTGTCGAGATTCCGCTTCTTCTCTCGTCGACGCAAACGCGGACGTTTACCGTTCCTCCCCCCCCTCTCTCTCGCTCTCGCTTTCTCTCTTTCTCCTCCTCTCTCTCTCCCTCTCCACCTCTCTCTCTCTCTCTCTCTCGTGTGTTCGGTGCTAGGGAGGATCGGGACGGACCTCGTGGATTGCACCGCGAGGGCGATAAATTCGTGACGGCGGTCACATCGTCGATGGTGACACGCACGGTGTCCGGACGTCGCAGCGATGATTACGACATCGTTAGTGTGTGACATCGTGTGTGTGTGAGTGACATCGTGTGTGTGACATCGACGATCATAGGATTATCGTGCAGCTGTGTCGTTCGTCTGCCGCGCTACGACGAGCTGTTAGGTCGTGATGAAGGCCAGTAGAAGCTGCTAGTGTGGGAGAGTAGCAGCAGCAGTGCCAGTAGTAGCAGCATCGTCACGCAACCCTTTGGGACTAGTCCTTCCGTCCGCGTATGCCCGAACTGCCGCACAGAGGGCGCGACAAACACGGATCCGGAAAACGGACTCCTCACGTGGCTACTCGTGGGCCTGTTGTGTCTCTGCGGGTGAGTTGCGGGGCATTTTTCTCCGCTCCGCCGTTGCATGCACGCGCCGTGATCCGGCGAGGCGGCGACGCGACGCCCCTCCAGCGAGAACCGCCGCGCTAACACCACTAACATTCGCCCGAGTCGGCTCGGGACCACCGCCGAACGCCACCGTGACTTCTCGGGGACGCGTGTTGCGCCCTCCGTCGTTGGCTTGCAGTTCCACGTTACAAACGTTGTGGCGAGATACCGTGCTGGCTGCCATCATTGCGTGTCGACGCATCAGCTTCTACAGAAGTCTACAAATCCATCCGATAGTAGCCCTTCGTGTATGCCTTCGTACCATTGCCTTCCCTCAACCGTTCTCGCGTCCTACTCGCCTGCCTGTCGTCTATCTTGTCACCGATATTGTGATAGGCATGCCAGATGAGTATATCCCGATGCTTGTAAGGTGCGTTGTTGATTCGCCTTGCGTTGCATGATCTCAACCGTAAACTAGGCATGCATTTGTTTCGTCTCTCCTCTATCCTGTCTAGGCCTGCATCAGGAACTTGTTTCTGCGAGAAAAAACAACAATTTGTAGACTAGAAAGAAGCTGTGCAGTGTGCACTAGTGAAAAATCTTTTGACGAGATTGTAATTAGTGTTTAACCTTACACTGCTCTCATCGTCTTTGTGTTACTCCCGGTTCATATTTTTCCTTCGGGATACAGTTTGAGGTGTTGGCCGCTCCTCTAAGGCACTGACTGTGCTGTTGCAAACTCAACTCTTATATTAGCTTTCAAGTCTTATCTCGAGCTAAAATAAGCATTTGGGGGCAAAGCGTTTTTTTACGTACGTCGTGGCTAATGTTTCCCAGTACGTTCGGTAAACTTGCCAAGCTGGCTAAACTCTTAAGCCTGGCCGAACCAAATTGTTTGAAGTTTTAAACAGACGTCACTTATGCACTAGTGTTTACTTTCGGATGCGTATATACATAAAACTTAAAAGATGACTGTAGCTCACCAACTTGCAGCTGATATGGAATGAGGGCCCAAGTTGGCACCAGCACCAGTGTGAAGAACTTTGCTGCGATCGCAATTGCAGCAGAAGTATCAGCAGAAACGGCAGAAATGCCAGCAACAAGAGCATCTGGATCAGCTCCGATAGAATTGGCATTAGCAACAGCGTTAACATCATCAGCAGCAGTATCTGTAATAACAGAAGCAGCAGCACCACCACCACCATCAGCAGCAGCAGTAATATTAGCAGTAGTATCATCATCAGCAGCAGCAGCAGCTGCAGCATTAGCAATAGCAGTAACAGCAGCACCTCCACCACCACCAACAACAACCAACAACAGCAACGGCGGCAAGAATTGCCATACGACGCTCGACTCCCCCGCGCCCCCTCCTCGACGACGCTGACTAACGTATCGCCGTGTTTTCCCCCCCGCCGTTCGTCGCCGCCGCCGCCGCAGTCGTCACACCGCCGACCACCATCGTCGTGACGAGCATGCAGATGGGGACGCGGTCGACGCCAGTGCAGTGTCCGCACTGCCAGCAGTATGTGAACACGGTGTGCGAGTACGAGACCGGCATGTTCGCCTGGCTCCTCTTCGGCTTGCTGTGCTTCTTCGTGTAAGCCATGCCTCCTCCGCCGTGCGCGCCGCGTCCAGGCCGCGTTCGGGGCTAGCAGGGTGAGAGGGAGGGAAGCGAGCTGCTGGGCTAGTAGTAGAGTTAGCGGGTGTGAAGCGAGCTACACTTGACGCCTACTCAAGTGGCTACTGAGTGGTTGGGTGGGAAGCGGGCTGCTGGGCTAGTAGTAGAGTTAGCAGGTGTGAAGCGAACTACTGGGTGGGCAGGTGGGAAACGAGCTATTGGGCTAGTAGTAGAGTGAGCAGGAGTGAAGTGAGCTACACTTGACGCCTACTCAAGCGGCTACTGAATGGATGGGTGGGAAGCGAGCTACTTGGCTAGCAGTAGTAGTAGAGTGAGCAGGCGTGAAGCGAGCTAAACTTGACGCCTACCCAAGTTCCTACCGGGCGGGCGGGTTGTTAAGCGGCCTACTACTTTTAAAAGCACCTACTCTAGTGGCTACTGGGTGTGTGGGTAGGAAACAAGCTACTGGGTGGGCGGGCGGAAAGCGGGCTTCTTGAGTGGCTACTCAAGGCGGGCGGGGGATAGAAGGGTCAAGCTATGCAACTGGACGACGTTGCGGTGACGCCTCCGCTCCCTCGGTTATCATTTTGCCGGGTTATGGTCAAGCTCGCCCGGTTTGCGACACTTTGTTGCCGAGCATTGTAAAGATTCCGTGTAAAACGGCCCGCACTTAGTGGCAGGTCACGCCTCGACGGCGTTCAGCGTGAAACGTGTAGATCGGTGTCAATATCGAGCGCGTTAACCAGCCGCGTTAAAGGCACCGTCGCGCAAACCGCGTCGCAACCCGAAAATACAGCCCGATCGCTCGGTTACCACCGGTCGGCCTCCGCTGCCTTTGCTGTTGCCTGTTTGAAGCTGTTGGTGGTCGGTCACTGCTGCTGCTGGTCGTCTCATTGCTGTCATTGTCTATGGTGTTGTGAAGGTCTCGGTTTATTTTTACTTCGTTCTCTCCCGGCTGCTGCTGTTGGTGCTGTTTGGCAGACATTGATTATGAGGTAAGGTCCAAATTTTGGTAACGTGGGAGCGCACTGTAGCTCCCAGCTTAAGAATTAGTATGCTGATATAGCGTTGGAAGGTGTCACGGAATGTACATCCGTCTCGATCCTTTTAAAGCAAGTTTGCAAGGTGCGAGCAATAAACGCACCTTCGCTGCACGAATCTAGTTGTCCCGCATCGAGTTGCGTCTGTGATTAGCGACAGAGAAGGCTCCACCAACCCTCGTGTAACCTAGGTTCTTTAATAATACGACAACCTTTCGTTTTTAGCTCACCTTGACATCGTCAAGCTGAGCTATTGCCATGGGTCATCGTCCGTCGTACGTCCATCCGTCCGTTAACATTTCGCTACGGTCAACGATAACTCAGGAACTGTTTGACCCACATGCTTGAAATTGGGTATAGTTGTTACTGCTATGCTCCCATATTAAACGTCCTATTTTGGAGCACGCCAGTCGACGT